AATGTTCTAAATAACTTAATAGCATATTCAACACAGCAGTGAATTAAATGAACAAAGACACTGTGTCTGAGGAATAAAAATATGATTTGACGTTAGAAAATACCTTCAATTATAATTCCCTGTACAAATTAGAGAAGAAACATTGATCATATCAATGGGTACATAATAAGCCTTTGAAAGAAATTCAACGCAAGTGCACGGTAAAAAAAAAAAAAAGATAAACATTAGAATAGAACTTCAATTTCCAAGTCTATAGCAAACACACTTAAATGTGAAATGTTAGAAGAATTTCCATCAAAGTCAGGGACAGACAACACAAAAATGTAAGCTCTCTCCTCTACTGTTCAAAACTGCACTGGAACGCATAGAACTATGGATATCAAAATAAATAAAATATGAGTATTGAAAAGAAAGATAATATTTGGTGACAATATTATCTGTAAAATACTTTTATCTATAATATTATATCTATTCAAAGGAATAGGTAGATGGAATAGTCAGATGAATAAGAGACTTCAGAAAAATGTTACATGGAAGATCATTATAGCAAAATCAAGAACCTTGCCACATAAAAGCAATAACTAATTAGAACTTGTATTGAAAATATCCCAGTCACAACTGCAACAAAGTCCAAAAATTACCTGAAAAGAATCCCAAGAACAATGTACAAGATATTAATGGAGGCAAATGTAAGAGTTTGCTGATAGGTTCAGCTAAAAGAAGTCTCTAATAAATAGAGCAGTAAAACATATTTGTTAATGGGGAAGAATATTATAAAGATGTGAATTCTCCTTAAATTATTTACAGTTTTAGTGCCTTACCTGTAGATACCAAGATGATCATCCAATTCACACTGCTGACTTCCACTCCCCAAATCAATCCTCAATAACTATAGAAGGCAGAGGGGGGGAAATCAACAACAAAATCTGAACAACCAAACAGGAGAAAGCTCTGGGGGAGACTGCAGATTGCGGTGAGCTGGTACTTGTGTTTGGGTGGGGCGTGGGCAGCGGCAGCCAAGTTGGGAGGGCCTGTAGGCTGCATGGATGCAGATGACGGGATGGGGAGGAGGAAAGGCTTCAAACTTCTGCTCCTGCCTCACTGCACACATCTGAAGCAGGCCCTCAGGCCACACAGGCCAGTGGCCCTGGGGCAAAAGCAGGACAGCCAGAAAGATGGGATGATTTAGATAGTAGGGCCCCAAAGTCTGTGCTAATAACCACCTGAAACCCTTTTAGTGTGTTAAAATCAGAAATAAATAGAAACCAGCCTTGAAAATTCCCTGAGCAGACAAAATCAGTTTAGTCATACAAACAGTTTAATTCAGTTTATTTTGCAAGACTAACTTGACCCGAGTCGTTTCTTGCTTATACCTCTGGAAATCATAAGCAAAACTTAAACCATTTCCCAAAATTGACATGAGGTAACCACTAACCAATTCCCTGTCATTCAAGAAAACTCCAGTATTATAACCAATCACTGTGAAGAATAAACAGTCACTGCGTTCCCACTGTTGTAAGCTGCTCTATAACAATAGCCCCCTGAGCCTCACTCCATGTCTGCTTTGAGTGTTCCCAGTTCGGAAACTGTCTTTTGGGTGCGTACACAATAAACTTTACTAATTACGACTTCAGTGATTCATTGGTTTTACTTGTTATTTCTGAACTTTTGACAAGTGGGTAAGGATTAGCCTTTCAAACATTATTTTAATAGAAGATGAAGACTGGACTGGAAACAGAACAGGAAGTATCAGTGATCCACACATAGTAAGTGAGATATTCTTTCATGAAATTCTACGCATTCTAAATACACACTTGGTAGATATGTAAAATATATTTTTTACTAGGAATGAGGGTTAAGAAAATGAAAACAGCTGCACTGGAGGATCTAGTGTTAGATAACCTCAAAATAGCAGGACATCCCCAAATCCTGTTGCTCAGCCTTTGCGGAGTACAAAATACATCTTTTAGAACAAAATGTTTCTGGAGTCTGGCTGGCTGGTGAAGAGACACCATTGGAAGGTGTGCTTCTCTGCCCTTCCTCCGCTGGTGGTGGGCACTACAGCTTCGTATTAGCATCTAGTCTGGGACCCAGGGGTGTCATTCTCTGCAAGGGTTGCAGCTGGGGAAATGCTCAGAGCTGATAGGGAGGGAGCATCTCCCAGCCAGCATTTAATCAAGGAGCCAGGAGCCTAGATGAGGACCCTCACGAGTGAGGACTGAGGGTGGGGAGGCTCACCCTCCCCAGGGGGCCCATAGAATCCACGTCCACCCCTGATGACAGCCCTGGGAGACCAAGGTAGAGCTGTGAGGCTCAGAGCCCCCATCATTTCTGCCTCAGGGGCTCTCAGAGCAGTGAGAGCCTTGGCCGGAAGGAAGCCAAGGGACTCAGGACAGCAGCGAGAGGAGTCTCAGGCCCTGCCGGGAGTCAAGGTGAGGATCTTGAAGCAGCATTTAGACAACCTCCCATCCCAGAAAAGAGGGGTCCCAGCATCACTGCTGTCCCTGCAGTCAGCCCCTAGAGACCCTAAATCAGGGAAATATGATGGCCCCTCACTTCCTTCTGGGGAAGAGGGGATGCAGATCCCAAGGAAATGAGGCTTGGATACAGAGTGCATCTTCAGATCAGCAGTGAAAGGAGTCCCAGTACCTGCCAGGAGTCAAGGTAAGGACTCTAAGGAAGGACTGAAAGGACCCTCGACCTCAAAACAGAGAGGCCCTCAGCCCCGCCTGCCCTGCCCCTGCGATCAACCCTGGCAGACCTCAGGAAGACATAGCCCAACATGGTGGCCTCTGACTTCCGCCGGGGGAGGGGGTCTTAAGGAGGGGAAAACCTTGATTTGAAGGAGCTGGACGCAGGTCAGCAGAGGGAATGGCCCATGACCTGTCAGCAATCAAGTTGAGGACCTGAGGGAGGATTGAGGGGACCCTGGACTACAGGAGGGGACTCCCACCCACAACAGAAACCCACCCTTTCTGTCAGCCCAGGGAAGCCCCACTGCGGTCTGGCCAGATGTAGTATTTCTTCACTTCTACCTTGGGATACTGAAGGAGGGCTGGCTTGGTATGAGGCAAGTGTCCTCAGGTCAGCAGAGGAAGGGGTCCCAGGCCCTGCCAGACGTGAAGGTAAGTAAGGACCTGAGGGAGGACAAAGAGATTCTGGACCCCAGACAGAATCAGTCCTGGGAGGCCGCTGGGCGGCATGACCACATGTAGCGTTTCCTGACTTCCACATCTGAGTATGGGAGACTGGAGACTTGGTCAAAGGACAGGGCCTGAGGTCAGCAGAGGGGAGGGCCCCGAGAAGAGATGCTGAGGGAAGAATGAGGGCACCTGGGACCCCAGAACAGAAGACACTCTACAGAAATACGCCCCTGCTGTCAGTCTTGGGAGGTTCCGGAACAGCTTTCTGACTGAAGCTACCCCTCCATTTGCTCTCGGGAATCTGAAGGAGGTGAGGCCTTCATCTAAGGGGGCAGCATAAGGCCAGCAGAGGAAGGGCATTCAGGCACCACCAGGAGTCAAAGTATGACTGAGGGAGGAATGAGAGAGACTTCTACTTGAGAACACCCAAGGGCATCACGGAAACCTGACCTGCTCCGCTTTCAGCTCTAGGAGATGCCCATCATGGCTGTCTGACCGATAGCACCCTCCTTTCAGTCAGGGGAGTCTCAGGGAGGTGAGAGCTTTAGACTGAGGGGCCACACTCAGGTCAGCAAAGGGAGGAGTCCCAGGCTCTGGCCCCTGTCAAGGTGAAGACTCTGAGGGAGGACTAAGGTGACCCTGAACTCAAGAACATAGGGGGCTACGGCTCCTCCCCTGCCACTGCTATCAGCCTTGGGAGACCCCGGGCATGATGGCCAGGTGTTGTGTACCCTCACTTCTGTCTTGGGGATCTCAGGTAGGTAAGAGTCTTGGTCTGAGAGCAGCAGACTCAAGTCAGCAGAAGGAAGAGGCCCAGGCCCTGCCAGGAATCAAAGTATAGACCCCTGGTGAGGACTGACCATACCTATGCACTCCAGAAAGGAACTCACAGATTCTGACTGTTGCCAATTGTCAGCCCCAGGAGGATTCTAGTAAGACTGGCATCCACTTCTGCCACAGGCTGGGGTTGGGGAGGGGTCTCGGGGAGGTGAAGCATTGGCTGGAGTGGGTGATATCAGGTAATCCAGGGCAGTGGTCAAGCCCTGCCAGAAATAAATATGGATATCCTGAGAGAGGACTGAAGGAACCCTGCCTACCCCACAACAGAGAAGCCTCAGCCCCTACTGTTAACCCTGGGAGACCCCTGGCCGGGGGAGGCCACAGATGTGGAACCTCATCGCTTTTGTTCTGCAGCTCCCAGGGAAGTGAGAGCCTTGGTCTGAGGGGCAACATCAGGGCTGTAGAGGGTGGAGTCCTATGCCTTGCCAGGAGTCTAGGGGAGGACCCTAAGGGAGGATTGATGGTATCTCCCACCCCAGAACACAGAGGGGTGCCCACAGAAATCTACTCTTATCTCGCTGGCAGCCCTGGGAGACTCCAGGCAGGACTTTTAGGCTGAGGCACCCCCTTGTTTCCAGCTTAGAGGTGTCAGGGAGGTAAGGGCCTTGGTCTGAGGGGGCCCAACTTAGGTCAGAAGAGCAAGGCTTGCAGACCCTGCGAGGCATCAAGTTGAGGACCCTAAGGGATGACTCAGGAGACCTCTCACCCCAGAGAAAGTAAACCCCCACCCTCTCCTTGTCATCCCTGTGTGGCTCAAAGTTGTGGTGGCCAGATGTATTGAACTACCATTTCCACCTTAGACAATTCACCCCAGAATAGTGGGGACCTGACAAAGTCCAGGTGTACTCAGGCAAGGGAGGGCCTTGGCCTAAGGGAGCCAGACTCAGGTTAGGAGAGGGAAGAATCTCAGGCCATGCCAAGCGGCAAGAGTTCTCAGGGTGAGAACTGAGAAGACACCTCGGATCTGAACAGATGGAATCCCAGCCTTACTTTGCCCCTTGTGCTGGCCATGAGAGGATGTGGAACACGGTGGCTGTCTGTGGTGCCCCTCACATCCACCTTCACTGTCTCACAAAGGTGAGACTTTGGTCAAAAGGAGGGTGGCCTCAGGTCAACAGAGGGAGTTGTCCCAGGCCCTGCAGGGTGTCGAGGTGAAGACTAAGCAGACCACCCATCCCAGGACAGATGGAACCTGCAGAATTTGGTCACCCCTTCTTGTCCCTTGGTGCCTCCTGTTAGCCCCTGGTCAGGTGTTGCCAGATGTGGGCCCCCTTACTTCCTTCTGCCCAGTCTCAGGATTGTGTGGTCTTGTTCTGAGAGGTTTGCCTCAGGTCAGTAGAGGGGCGGGGCCCAGGCCCAGCCAGGGGAAATGTAAGGACCCTGAGTGAGCTCGGAGGGGACCACTCACCCCAGAACAGTGGGGATCTCACAGAGTCCGGCCCACACCTCCTGGCAGCCCTGGGGGTCCAGGGCTGTGCTTGCAGTCTGAGCCCAGAGGTGCCCCGTGTTTCCTCTTACAGGGGCTCCAGGAACCTGGAGGTGAAGGCCTTGGTCTGAGGCTCATACCCTCAGGTCGCATAGGAGAGGAGGCCCAAGCAGTGCCAGGAGTCAAGGTGAGGTATACACCCCAAATGTGCATCCAGGGCCTCCCCCACACCAGAACCGAGAAGACCCTGCAGACCCTGAGGCCACACCACCCCAGCCCACCGCCTGCCCCAGAACCTCGGGCTGTGCTGGGTGCTCCCTGATGAGCCCTATCACTTCTTCCTTCAGATCCCTAGGGCACAGGCCACCCTGGAGCACCGGGCCCTGTGATGCCAAGAGCACCCCTAACAGGAGACCTGTAATTTGCTTTTTTCAGAGCCGCCAAAGGTGTGTTTCTCAGCTGAGGCCACTCACACTCTCTCTCTCCCCCAGCCTCCAAGGTCCCAATCGGTCACCTGCCCACATTCCAGCTGGCTGCCTGACACGTTGTCATGAATCTAGGTCAAGTGGGTGGCTCTGCAAGTGTGAGGAAGACCATCAGGACCCAAGAGAGACCCAGGGCCTGGTGGATGCACAGCTGTCTGGGGCTGAGGAGGAGGAGGCCATATCCCCCTCATCCTCCCCCTCTGTCCCCTTCCTGGGCACCCTGGAGGAGGTGGCTGTGGCTGCAGCCCTGAGTCCTCCCCAGGGCCCTAAGAGTGCCCGGCCCTCCAGCTCTGCCATGGCAGCCACTCCTTGGAACCAGTCCGGAGGCGATGGCTACAGCAGCCAAGATGAGGAAGGGCCAAGCACCTGGGAGGACCCGGGAGACGCCGACTCCTCGCTCCAAGATACACTAAGTCTGAAATTCACTGACCTGGTAGGGTTCCTGCTGCTCAAGTATCGCACAAAGGAGCCCACCACAAAGGCGGAGACGCTGAATACGGTCCTCAGAGATTACCAGGACCACTTCCCTGTCATCTTCAGACAAGCCTCTGAGCGCATGAACCTCATCTTTGGCATTGACGTGAAGGAAGTGGACCCCAGCGACCACGCCTATGTCCTGGTCACCACCCTGGGCCTCACCTATGATGGGATGCTGAGTGGTGAGCAGAGCATGCCCAAGACCGGCCTCCTGGTGATGCTCCTGGGTGTGATTCTCTTGGAGGGTGACTGTGCCCCCGAGGAGGACGTCTGGGAAGCACTGAGTGTCATGGGGGTGCGTGCCGGGAGGGAGCACTTCATCTACAGGGAGCCCAGGGAGCTCCTCACCCATGTTTGGGTGCAGGAGCAATACGTGGAGTACCGGCAGGTGCCCAGCAGCAATCCTGCACGCTACGAGTCCCTGTGGGGTCCCAGGGCCCACGCTGAAACCAGCAAGATGAAAGTCCTGGAGTATTTGCTCAGGGTCAGTAGCAGGGATCCCAATCCCTTCCTCCACCTGTGTGAAGAGGCTGTGAGTGATGAGGAAGGGGCACCTGAGCCCGAGGGCGGCCAGGCACGGGGCAGGCCCATGCCCAGCACCTTCTCCTGCTGGGCATGAAGTGAGGCCGCTTCTTCACTGTGTGTTTCATCAGAGAGCAGTGAGTGTCCTAAGTAATGGAGGGGCGAGGTGGGAGGCCACTGTGGATAGTGTCTGTGGGTTCCTGTCCTCTCTGATGGATCCTGGAGATGGACCTTGGTTTCTGTTAGGAATTTTCAAATGTTGTTCCTTTTAATAGAAGGTTTAATTTGCTTCAGCGCCTAAGTTTTGAATGCCCTTGATCACATATGCATTTGTACTTATCCAGGCCAAGAGTAAGAGTTTTGCTATTTTGTAAAAGTAATTGGGACACCTTCCACCATAGCCTGTGATCTGAACTGGATGACATGGCACTGGAACAGCAATTTCCTTGGAAATGTGAAAGAACTTAGCAGTCAAATCGATGGGGTCAAGAAATAGAGAAATAAAAGTAGAAGGCACTTGATTCTTGGCTTCTTATCCCTTCTCGTCTGTCGTTCTATCAAACTGAAAGACATATATATGCCCGGATTTCTTGGGTTGATTCAAGAAACTCAGAGAAATTTAGTCTGCATGACTAAGACCCCTGCTCACTGGCTCCATTCTTCCCCAGACTTTTGCTGAGCCTCTGCTCTCAGGAAGGCCCTGTGTCAGTAATGGGGACACAAGGATAAGCAGGAAACCCCCCACCCATAGAATGAGAGTCTGGGAGCCACAGTACCAGAAGAAAGGTGGTGAGGTGTCCCCTCCAGGACGAGTCAAAGAAGGTGGGAGGTGGTGCGGCCCCAGGGGAGCGCGCTCACGTGTAAAGCCCCCGAGCCAGGGCAGTGTGGGTCTTCGGGAAACTGCGATTCCTTCTGTGGGAGTTGGTTGTCATGAAGCTCGGTGGTGGCAATGGCCAGACTCACAGTGTGTCTTAGGGCTGAGGGGCAAGTCTGAAATGGAAAATTGCTCTGAAGAGTTTCTTAGGGATCTCGGGTAACCAGACAGAAATCTCCACCTGGGCAGGAAGGGAAGGTGTCCTGGGCTCTTGTCACATTGCAGTTGAACACAGTGAAGAACGGCGAGTTTGACATCCATTATCTGTAAGGATTTCACAAGAAATACGGTCACATTCCTTTGAAGTGTTTCCCAGAAGTCAGTGGCCTGGCACTCCTCTCCCAGGCCTGGGAGAGCCAGAGCCTACAGCATAAGTTAGGTGTTAATCTTAATTGAGTTTAATTGGCCAATTGTAATGAAGGGCTAGATTTTGGTGGGGTGAAATGAATGGAAGTAGTGGTCTGGATGAAGAGCAGCTTGGAGGGAGGCAAGGAGTCGGTCCTTGACTCTGTTTCTAGGAGCTCTGTGTTCCATCCAGCTGGGGAGACTCCCCCACCCCCGAATTTTCACATATATCCTCTAGCTGGGAATTTATTGAGTTTCATTTGTGAAACATCCTTTTTGGCTCATTAGTTATTTCGTGTCCTGTTGAGCTGCATGTTCTCTAATAC